TCCTGGCCGGCAGTCGATTGTTTCATGGGTAAACAACTTCAGGGAAACGGGTGATGTAAAGAAAAGAAACCTGGCCTCCCACCAACAGCAAGGTCACCCCAAAACATTGACTCAGTGTATAGAGAAGAATGGACGCCATCTTACTGATATCATCTTTAAAACTGGTAAAAAATAAAATTTAAACGTTGAACTAGTTGCAGTTCAAAGAATTACATGTATACCTGCATTACTTGCGTTTTAATTGATATTCCAAATAAGCAAGTTGCTCTGCCCCACCCTGTATATTAGAAACAGGGGTCAAATTCTAATTTCTTGCTATGCTGTTTGTTCTCACCTTTCATTTCAATAATCCAAGCATGCGATATCTGCTAGATATGGCAGTGTTTCTATGATTGGCATATGCACATAAAAGATAAAAGTATTTCTGTTTTATGGCTAGCATATGCTCAATATTAGAGGATAATGTTTGCAGATATAAACAGAGTTGACACAGGAATCAACACTGCATTGTGACCGTCAGTTTCACAATCTAAAGGTCATCAGACCGTATGATGATCACTTCAGGTGTGAGACTGGTGGTCAACATGCAGTGTTGATTTCTAAGTCCACATTTTTTTTAAAAGTTTTCTACAGGATTGAATTTTTTTTATTCTTCATTTTTGTAAAGGTTGGGAAAAAAAATGATAATCCAAACATGCAATATCTGCTGGATATGGCAGTGTGACACTATGTTCGGGACTTTGGGACACCCACATAAAAGTGGAAAGTGAGATCTTCTCTCTATTTCAAGTGTTTCTGTTTTATGGCTGGCAGATGGTGTTTTTGAAACCGGATCTTCTAAGTGGCATCCACTTGACCAAAGGAGATTGGATAAATAAAATAAAGTATTTGGGGTCATGTGGCAACAAAGCTAAACATGATGATTTCTCATTGCTGGTCTATATTAACAATCACAGTTTGGATCAAGGAGACTAGTTCTGTTCCACTCTTCATAAGTCAGGGTAGGGAAGAGACTGTCCTTTAGGTTATTCAATGCTGCCCATTTGTGTGAGAAGCCACATGTTGTTATGAGATGGACAGAGTTAGTAGGTAGGAAGTATTGATCTGTTAAACTGATATGACAGTTGTCCCAAGTGTTGCCTACCACTCAACCCAAACTGTGCAAGTGAAACCCTGAAGAAGACACCAAAGTATATTAGAGACAGGGTTCAACTTCTCATTTCTTGCCATGCTGTTTGTTTTCATCTTTCATTTCAATGGGAATGTGCAGTGGGGCTTCCTAGATTTTTTGATGTATGCTGATGTGAATGAGAATAGAGAAACTTTATAGGGTAGTGATTGATAAAAAGCTGGGTAAGGACCTTGTATGTTTCAGTAGACAATTGAAAACATTTCTACTGACCTGTAAAGATTTTGTGTGCTCACCAAAGAAACCTTCTTCCTTTCCAGCCTGTGTCCCTTCTGGACGTAGGCGATCATGGCTCTCCACTCCCTCCTGTCCCTTGTAGCACTTTTGTCTTTTTTGTCTTTTCTCCCAAACCCTATTCCACCATCCATTTACTAAAGCCCATCAAGTATGTTATGCACTGCTTTCTTCTGAACCTATTTTCCTATCTGTCTTGTGAGTATTAGATTTTCCAAGTCCTCTTTCCTCATTACGTTCCCAAGAAAGTGTTTCTGTTTATGACCAACAGATGGTGTCTTTAAAATCAGGCCTTCTAAGTGGTACCCACTTTACCAAAGGAAATGGAATAAGTAAAATAAAGTATTTGGGGTCAGGTGACAACAAAGCTGAACATGATGATATCTCATTGCTGGTCTATATTAAAAGTCACAGTTGGGATCGAGGAGTCCAGTTCTGTTGGACAGACTTGGGCAATTCCTTGGGTTGCCCCACGCCGTTAGGTTTAGGTAGGCAAAGATTTATTAGAAAGGAAGATCTGATATGTTGCACTGACATGACTGTTGTCCCAAGTGTCGCGTACCTCCCCACGTGGAATCTAGATTTGAAGCATATCTGTTTTATGGAGAGCGGAGGTCGTCTTTTGAAGTCGAGTCTTCTAAGCGACACCCACTTGACCGAAGGAGAACAAAAATACAAATAAGTAAATGAGAGCAGTTGAGGTCAATTAACAACATTGATGATTTCCGTTTGCTGGTGTATATTAACAATCAGAATTGTGATCGAAGGGTCAGTTCTGCCCCCCCGACAGAGGATAAACTGTTCCTTGCGTAGATCCGATGACGCTTGTTCTGTACTGCCAATCACACGTCGTGATCGGCAGTGGGTTGGTAACAATAAAGAGCTGACCTGTTAAACTACTGATATGGCAGAACTTGTCCCAAGTGGCACTGCCTTGCATTTCTATACTTGGCGTTTGTTTTTATCTTTCGTTTCCTTGTGAACGTACAGCCGGTATTTTCCAACTTTTGGTGCACACCGACGGGGACGAGGACAGAGACGCAACGTGGGTTAGTTATTTGCTTGGTCGGTAGAAAGGAAACGTTTACATAAATATCAGGGTTTTTAAGTCAATCCGTGAAACGAAATCACGGGTTCAAATGCCACCTATTGAAAAACAACACAGATTTCTATCCCAACCAGATTATTTCACATCAAATAACCAGATACAGACACATTTAAAATGACAGATCAATATATCGATTTTACAAGGAAAAACCAAACTGATTTGTAAATCTCTTAGGAGTGTTTCCAGTGTTTTTGTTAGTCTCTATTCGTTTTTTTTTTGGTTTTAATTATGATACAATGTAAAGGTAGCAGTGAAGGACTGCATGGGCTCCACACTACAGACCCGAGCAAATGTGGCACCCAGGAGTGTCTCCATCGTCTTTTGTTTTCTAGATGTTTTCTCTCTCCACTACTACGAATTGTGACACAAAGTCAGTTTTTTAAGGTGGAGACCCAAGTGCGTACACCCAGGCTAGGAGCAAAAATTGCCAGCAGCCCCCGCAGCTGTCGGTTGCGCTGGCCTCGGTGTGAGCACCGATCCCTCTTTGGTGCAATGAAAGGGACCTCGGGTAGCTGTTTCCCAGGGCTGGGTACCTCTCAGTATAATTTTTCTTAGTTGCGACTCTATTCTTTGACGGAGCCGACCCTGAGTGCAGTCTGCCCAAAGACAGAGAGTCAACCGAGAGATGATAACTCGAGAGTTCGCTTTCTGTTATGATATATTGTAACAAGAGTACAGGTACATATCCGAGCAAATGTGGACCCAACCCCGAAAGGAGTGCTAAAACTAAGGGGTAGAAATACCATAGTCGATTTGTCGGAGAGGTGAGTTCTTGATGATATCTGTTTGGGAAGCAAGCTCTGAGCGTGCGCCACCTTTGAAACTCCCTAAAAACGATTTGACCTCAGCGTTGTGATTTAACCACAAAGCTGAGGTCAAATCGTGGTATCGTTAGACGCAACTGTTGATCACGCCGGATTATGCATTCTCTCCCAGAAACTGCAACTAAAGTCCGCTCTGCCTAGTCGCAGTATAAACCACGGGTAGACATCGTGAGTATTGAACAAACTGCTGACGACTGAAACTAATTGCGTATCCGCTCTAGCAGTCGGACGTACCCGGAAACGTATAGTCAGTCAGTATATAGTAGCGTACTGAACAGTAAATGTAATACATTCGAATATCAACGCTATTCTGGACATTACTTCAGCTTGCATTTGCATTCTCTAAAAAAATTTAAAAAATATATTTCCCATTTTTTTTACTCATTTTGATTCATCTTGAAGAAAGAGAAAACAATACCTAAATGAGGTACATAGTTGGCCACTCGTATTCGGAGATACCCGTCTACTAGGGCGGCCATCCAATCCCCATTGCAGTCGCTTGCTTAGGCACATTTGCGTTTATTCAACACCCACAGACCTCACCTGTGGTTTATACTGACCTTAGCTACAGTTTCTGGAAAAGAGCGTGTTATCTAGCGTCATCACCAATTTGAACAAGACCAGCACGCTCAAGCCCTCGGCCACGGTGACTTGTAACTTCGTGCTATTGACGGCACGCAAGGGTTCCGCCTACCCATGGTATGGTCAACCCGTGGTATGGTTTTCAGGCACTTTCCAAAGGTACTGTACGCTGGAATCGACCCTTCCAATCCGATAACATCATGAAGTCTCCTTCCTGATGTTGTCGACCATGGTGAGATACGAACCCGGGTCTCATGGTCGGAATGCGAGCGTTCTAACCACTCGGCCCATAGAAAGAAACAGGTAAACCGTTTTGAATTTGACATGTTTCTCTATTCATTTAGCTTCATTTTTTTTATAAAAGTTTTCTACTTGTTACTTATTTCATCTTTTTGTTGGATTTTGTTCGTATTTTCAATTCTAACAGAATATTTTTCCTACAGCTTAAAATACCAATTGGTTGGCCGTCCTGGGTAAGACGACAAACTACATCCGCGTTCTGGGTAACACTATAAACAACATCCGACAGCAAGACTTTTGATCAGGAGGTTTTGAGGACCATAGAACCACCTCTTAATTGCTGGTGTACCCAGATGCATTCTGAATCGGGGTGGTAGCACCCGTTAGAGTTCCGTTAGAGTCCCAGCTATGGGCAAATAGTTAATCTCCAAACACTATGAAAGTGTAAAAATAGGTTTTAATACCAATAATACATTTTGTAAAAAATTATTAGCAATACATTAATACCAGGAATACATTTGAAGGAAAAAATATTACAAGCAATACATTTTTGGAGAAAAAAAATACATGACCAGCAATAAAAATCTTCTCGGCATTAAATAACCCATTGAGGTGTTGATATGCCGTAAACCAAACCAAAGCAAGTGGTTGGATTTGTTTTGTTATTTTTCATTTAGCGAGATTTTAGACCTGGTTGTAAGTCCGGGATGATTTTAAGCAGCCATCTCGTTGAGGAGTAGTTGTAGTCATCATATATATATATATATATATATATATATATATATATATATATATATATATATATATAAAGGAAAAAACTTACCATTCTTTCCTGCAAGTTCAGTAGACATCTTTCAGATTTGGTCTCTAAAAACCTGTAAAAATGCAACAAAGTTGGAATATAAATAATTTGTGTCGGGTTGGAGGGTACAAATTATTCTGATTATGACTTTAAAAACGAAAATTGATTCCGAGTAGTTTCGACATTAGCACAATGTCATCATCAGGATGTTTCTAAGACAAAACTGTTGTGTTCATTTGAAAATTAAATTGTTAACGTGAAGTGAGAAACTTTAAGGTTATGTACTGTACGAATTAAATTTCACGATGTAAACGTCAGGGGAGGTAACTAAGTTTTGGAAATGTCCATTGCGCTAATGTCGAAAGTACGGGGTATAAACGAATATGTACCAACATGTTAATTTTCTCTCTTCGCTTATTAAAGATACTAAGAAGATTACCCGTGAATATGAGAGGATCCTATTGAAAATAAGTAGACAAAACTTGTTTAAATTTTTCAGTGAAACATGTCTTAATGAAAACATGCTGCCAAAATAAACGCAATATATATATATATATATATATATATATATATATATATAAGACAAATACCAGTCGGGATATTACTTTTTCGGCTAAATAGATAGGCTTCACAGTTATCAAAATAACAATGTTTATTAGTCTTGCACATTACACACACACACACACACACACACACACACACACACACACACACACACACACACACACACACACACACACACATATATATATATATATATATATATATATATATAACATATTTCGCGATTATTAAAGCTTCATCAAAGAATGAGATATGGAGTAAAATATGCTTTTTTTCTCCTTTTCTTATTTTTTTTTTTTTTCTTATTTACTCTCTTTTCTTCATATCCAATTCTCTGATGAAGCCTTAATAAACGCGAAACACGGTAGATTTATAAAGGTTACTATTTCCTATTGAAGCTATGTTGTAAGATGGATTGTATTTTGTGTATGTTTGCGTACCTGTTTTCGGTTAATTCTTGCCTTCTCACGTTTGCTGGAACCGATAAACATATATATATATATATATATATATATATATATATATATATATATATATGTAAGCAAATATATGGATATAGATCCGACAGTATGAAGAAAAATATACTGAAAAAACAAACAAAAATCCTAATATGCGATTATGCTGTTTTAATGTTTAATGTCAACGTCGGACGTTTCGGTCTAATAGATCATCTTCAGGACATATTTATAAAACATAATTAACCATATACAATTCAACATGAAAAAGACGTGATCATATTTAAACGGAACGCTGATCTTATAAAAGATTTCAGTTATCTGTTTGGATTGGTATCGATATCAGAGATAGGGTGTGTGTAAATATAAAAGTGAACATAGAAGTCAACACTTACAGGCGACAGTGTGTGTGTCAGCCTGACGATTGCATATAGCATGAAGTGTCTCGCCTCTAAGTGTTGACTTCTACGTTCACTTATATATATATATATATATATATATATATATATATATATATAAATTAATTTCCAAACAATTAATAGATTTTATTTTTAATCCAACATTATTATTTTTTATTACACAAAACGTTGAAAAAGAGATTCGAGTTCTAACGCTCCTGGAGTGCACAATTTCTTTATTAAATCTCTTAACGTAATCCACACTGTTTAAAAGAACGGGGCGGCTATTCAAACAAGGGCATCTTCTAAATAGGCGGATAAAGTCTTATGATATACTTTCTGATGAACTTTTTATAATTTTGTTGGTACGGAACCATTTTTTGCATAATAAATTTATCGCAAAAGTCTTCAGCGTGATGGTTTATTTTGGATGTGCGGAAATATCTCTGTAAAAGTACTTATAAATTTTGATGGCATATAAGAGCACCCCACTTCCGTTTTCCTCTTGATATAGTGTTAGGCGACGTGCAAGCTATTTATAGTCCCCAGCCTTTGGGGAGACATTAACATACATATCTAGACTTTGCATAATTACCAATCCTAAAACTGGGACGTTTTTTTTTTTTTTTTTTTTTTTTTTTTTTTTTAATATAGGTTCATTATTGTGACTAGTGTACTGAAGTATTTTCATGTTTCAACACACCTCCAGCTTCATATCTCTCCCCCCTCTCTCTCTCTTTATTAATCTTACTCTATTTGTTTCTTTTTCTGGCTCTCTGTCTTTCTGTATCTATCTCTATTTGTTGCTCTCTCTTACTCCCGTTCTATCTATCTGTATTTTTCTGTCTCTCTCGCTCTTTGTCTCTCTCACTTTTCCTGTCCCTCTTTCTTTATCACTCTTTGTCTCTATCTCTCTGTCATTATTATGTCTCTCTCTATTTCTCACTCTCTTTCTATCTGTCCCCCTCAATCTCTCTGTGTGTCCCTCTCAATCTCTCTTTTCCTGTCCCTATCTCTCTCTTTGTCTCTCTCTTTCTCCCTCTCTCTCTCACTTTTCTGTCTATCTCTATTTCTCTCTATCTCTCTATCTTTGTCTTTCTCTCTATTTTTGTCCCTATCTCCCTATTTCTCTCTTTCTTTTTGTTCCTCCCCAATCTCTCTCTCTCTCTCTGTCCTTCTCACTCTCTTCGCTCTCTTTTCCTGTCCTTATCTCCCTCACTTTCTCTGTCTTTGTCCCCCTCTCTCTGTGTGTCACTTTTCTATCTCTCTCTCTATTTCTTTGTCTCTCTCTCTCTCTATTTTTGCCCCCCTCTCTTTCTTTGTCTCTTTTCTGTCTGTATCTTTTTATCCATCTTTCTCCCTATTTCTCTCGCTCTCTTTAATTTTGCCCCCTCTATCTTTGTCTCTCTCTCTTTTTGTCACTCTATGCTTCTTTTCTGTATCCCTCTGTCGGTCTGTCTGTCTGTCCCTCTGTTTCTTTCCTGTCTCCCTCGCACGCACGCACGCACGCAGAGAGACACGCAGGCACACACGTGAAATACTGATAGCCTAAAATCACTGGAACAGCCCTTGTCAAACAAAGACGTATCTTAAGCCAATACCTAAAGGATATCTTGATTTCGGACCCGAGGCAGATATTTTTCTTGGTGTGTATGTGTATGTGTGTATGTGAGAGGGTGTGTATGTAGCAGAGTATGAGTGGGGTGTATATACAAACAATCAGGCTAATTTCTGCTCAAGAAATTATAAATATGAGTATAAAACAATGGCCACAAATAACGAATATTCATTGACTGACATTGAAATCATCCTTTATTTCAATTTAATCATTTCACTCCAAATAAGGCAATAAAGCCACTAGGACGCAAGGGGTTACTGAGTGTGAGAGAATATGAGAAAAAAAAAACATTAAGGAGAGGGAACAATAAAAGAACAGGAATTAAGAAAACTGAGAAAAGAAAGAAGATAACGATTGACATTGTATTTAAATTTTTAAAGAGCAAAATTGACTGGAAAGCAAGAGAATGGAAGAGAGTTCCACAAGTGAGAAGTGCGAGGGAAGAAACTGTTAGCATATAACTTACGGTTACATTTAGGCATTTCAACTGTAAAATGATGAGACCTTTCCGCCAATCTAGTACTGCGCTTAAAGGCATAAAGTCGAGGTAACAAAGAGGAAAGTTCATCAGAACAATTACCATGAAAATATTTTGAGAAAAGACACGTGGAAGCCACGGTCCGGTGGTGGGAAAATAACTGATGCGGAGATGCCAGGTCAGGGACAATAACATTGCTGATTCTTCCCAGGAATTTTTTTCAAGTATCTCTAAATATATAGCAGGAGCAACGGACCATATGTGGCAGCAATATTCAAAGCATGGACGAATGGTAGACTTATAAATATGTAAGATAGATTCTGGCTAGAAACATTGTCTAGCTCGAGACAGCGAATTAATTTACCTTAATAGCTATTTAAAAAAAATTTAATCATGTAATAATTTTGTCCTTTTAAAGTTGTTTAGCTTCTAAATTAGCTGTAAAAAAATTGTTTTATTACGGGAGAAAATGTGTTACCGACATTATTCACACTCGGACAAAGTTAGCTTCTAAATTAGCTGGAAAAAAAGTTGTTTTATTATGGGAGAAAATTTGTGACCAACCTTATTAACACTCGGACAATTGTCCTCATTTTTGTTGTTTTTATCACAACATTTCGGCGTTTTTCATTGGTGTATCGTATTGGTTCTACAGATGCCAAGAATACCATGTAACGAATATGTGAGTAACGACGACTTCTGGAGACAACGGAAACAAAAAGGAGACTTATACATAACATCAGGAAGAGAGACTTGAAATTTCTAGGGCACCTAATGAGGAAGGAAGGCTTGGAAAATTTGATACTCATAATACATGATGAAATCAAGGGGGACAGAGGAAATCAACGAATAACTTATTTGGCGAGCTTGAGTGAATGGATGGCGGAGAAGCGTTTGGGAGAGACAGCATAAAGAGAAAACTTATTAAACGCTATAAAGGACAGGAAATTATGGAGAGTCATGATCGAAAACGTCCTGAAAGCACGAGGGACATAGAAGAAGAATCATATTGGGTCCATATCTATTCTGTCTGAATTTATAGAATGAGGAATTACCATTATTTACAATATTTAAACTCAAACGATTGTTTTCATCTTTGTCGTTATCACATCGTTTCGGTGTTATTTGGAATTCCTCTCTCTTGTTCTCTCTCTCTCTCTCTATATATATATATATATTATAAAACTTTCAGTTATTGTTTGGATAAGTCTTGTTCTAATGTACATCGTCATTGTCATGTTGTATTGATAATGTTATATTTATGAATATGTCCTGAAGATGGTTTATTAGACCGAAACGTCAGACGTTGACATATTAACATTAAAACAACATAATCGTATATAAGGATTTTTGTTTTGTTTTTTTCCGTATATATTTTTCTTTATATATATACACACACACACATATATATATATATATATATATATATATATATATATAATTATTTATTTAAATATTATTCCAACGCTACATAAGAGTTCTCATGTTTCAAAACAAGTTTGTGGCGAAGTATTAACCCGACTCACACCAATAATGCTTAGAAACCCAGAGATAATCATATCCGAGATACCCGGATGAAGACTGAGATGAGTGTTACATCAGAGATTTCCTAATCCTCGACAGATACCTTATCAAGCACTTGGGGCTCATCACTCCCAGTGGGCTAACCGCACTCCTGAATACCAACCCAGGTATTCCTGAGTCCCAGTGAATATTATGGCCGCGACTTGATTTCGAGTAATGCCATTACTTGACCCATACTCAAATATGGGCAGCATTTTTTTCAGTCCTGCTAGGGTCTTATGTTCTCTTGAGCAAATGTGGCAACGTTGAGCGTTTTTATTTTTGTTTCAGAAGTTGTTACGTAAATGTCGTATAACGTGAAATTAATGATTTTCCAGACCTACCCTACTTAGACTGACGCAACTATATTTAATACAGGTTAGACCAAATTTTATAGCAACACAAGGGAAACTAAGGTGAAGATCTTTATTAATATCTCTCTTTTGTTTTTCCTGTGCAACAGGGTTTTGTTCAAGGTCTATCTTACCACTGCGCACTGGGTTCTTCCAGGAGGACAGCAATGCACAATGGTAAAGGAGTCTTTGAACAGTAAACACGCACATACCTAAACACATATAAAAGGAACTCCAATCAGTGGTTAACAGGGGCAAGGAATGGCTTGTAAATTCGAACGCCTCCAAGACAAAACAGTTTTCATTTAATGGCCACAGAGAGTCTTTACTGTAAGCCATCAGCTTGACTGGTGCTAAAATCCAGGTGAGCAACACTCAACCCCTACTCGGACTCCACGATTTCCACAGACATGAAGTGGAGTGATTATATTGAATCAACATTTTGAAAATTATTTAAAAAAAAAAGTTATTTAAAAACTACAAAATATTATTGAGGTGTAAGAATATTTAGGAGATAATAATGATTTACCGATACAAGTCCTACTTTTTAACCCATAGATGGGGGAGATGAGGTTGATTCATAACTTTTCCAAGAATATTTTGCACATAAGTGAATATAACGAACCCGATTGGAATTCGAACTCGGTTATCCGATTTCCAAGTCCCAGCCGTTATCCATTACATCGAACGCGCATCCAAGCGTGCAGCACCCGGTATCCAGCGGTTAGTCATCTAGGTACTGATCAGGTTCGACGTTGCTTAACTTAGGTAATTGTAGAACCGGGGTTACGACGTGATATGGCCGTACATCTATATACATTTGTGTACTTATGTGCATATATATATATATATATATATATATATATACACTTTCACACACACACACATATATATATATATATATATATATATATATATATATATATATATATATATATATATGTATGCACGTGGAAGCCTTATTAATAAAAACATAAAACCAAACTATGAAAATGGACATAATAATTTGTCCCTGTTTTGAAAAATGAAAACATTTTATAAAACAAACTATTTCCTATTTAACAGTTTGTTATGGGACCTTACCCATAATAACATAATGAAGTATTCAATACGTAATAAATACTGCGCCTCAAGAGGAAGCAGAGAGTTCAGCGGGGAGGAACCCGAAAGAGGCTACGCCGAAGGGCGGAGTCTCTTTCGGGGAGGTAAACCGACCCTGAACCCGTTTATACGGGTTCAAAGGCCGAAGTTTCTAAATACTGTTCAGTCTGAAGTCGGACGACCGGCTGATCGGTTGAACTCTCTGCCTTCGAGCGGGAAGGAACAAGAACGAGGCTACGCCGAAGGGCGGAGTCTCTTTCGGGGAGGTAAACCGACCCTGAACCCGTTTATACGGGTTCAAAGGGCATATTTTTGGCCGAGCCTACGGTCCCGGATATCTCACGTTAAACCGGCCTTGTGCCACATGATGCCCTCGTGGCGGGGGTGACTAAATACTGTCCTGTCTGAAGTGAAGTCCGTCAGGAGTCTGTCAGTCAGTCAGTCAGTCAGAACGAGCGAGTCAGTCAGTCGAGTCAGACCGAGCGAGTCAGTCAGTCGAGTCAGAGGTTGTCCGAAACAGAGTCGCGTTCAGACAATTACTACTAAACCTGATTGTTCGTACTAACACTTTCTACTTCTCTGTATATATTCCTGTTTGTAATATATCTGTGTTATTCCATATCCGTGTTCGATTTCTTCTTTATTGGTTCTACCTTGGACTATCAACGTGGTACAAGGAACCGGATCATAACACAGTTAAAATATTTAATCCTTGAAAATGGCTAAATATACATCGAAAGCGCTCGGATAAAAAGAACATTCGGACAGTTTTTATAAAATTTATCATCTGAAAAAAAAATATTAGATCGCACCAGAAATTGTATAAAAAGATAAATAAAAGCAACTTATCTGTCGTATTCAATGAAATGTGTGTTTATATATATATATATATATATATTTTCTTTTAAGCATTACGCCCCGAGCAAGGCGTGAAGCCACTAGGATGCAGGGGGTTGCAGAAGATAGGAGTGATAGAAGAAAGGATGAGGAGAGGGATAGTGGATAGATCAAGGCAACTGGAGGTGTCGATTGACATTACATTTGAATAGTTGGAGATTATAGCTCTCAGGGAAACAGTAATTGGGAAGGGTGTTCCACAGGTGAGAGGTGCGAGTTATGAAGCTATTAGAGTAGAAGACGGCTACATTTAAAAGTTTCCACAGTGTAAGGGTGGGAGCGGGATGCCAGCCTCGTAGGGCGCTTGAATTCATGGAGTCTGGGAA